CTTTGAGACAGGGTCTCACTCTGTAGCCCTGGGTGGTCTCACAATCGCAGAGATTTTCCTCTCCCTCCTGAACGTTAACAATAGTAGTGTGTACCATGACAACTGTCTGAAAATAAAGTAACATGCTGGCTTTCCTTCTCTAGGGAGCCTTCATAGACTTCTGATTATTAGAAAAACATTTGCCCTTGCCTGGTCAACAGGGCGCCCTCTCATCACAGAAAAAGGGAATGTCTTCTGTTGTCCATGGTGGGGTGGCCCAGTGGTTTATGTATGGCCTGACTTTTCTATGCACCGATAGAAGCTCCACGTCCCACTGCTCTCCAGACACAAAGAACTGATGAAACTGGAGCTGCCTAGCTTTCCCCTTTGCACAACCAGAGTCTTTCTGAGGCCAGTACTAATAACCACTGTCGCTGTTATTTGACAAAATGCCCAAGAAAGCGACTTTAGGGAGTAGGGATATATTTTAGAATAAGGTTTCAGAAGTGTCTACTCATCATGACTGGGAGGCTGTGGCAGAACAGAGCAAATCACAAGGGGAACAAGAAGCAGTGAGAGAAAATGCTCAACTCAGACTTTCCCCTGTTCCACTTCCCTTACAGTTTTTAGGATGTTGCCACATGCATTCAAGGTGCCGCTGCAAGGAGGGGGGAGCAGTAGGATGTAGCACAGTGCCCGAGTGTGAGGCCTGCGCCATTCTTCCTCATGCTTCTTGTGGTACACGGTGCAGACTGCATCATAGCCACATCACCTCTTCCCAGTTCAGCTTTCACCTGCCTTTCTCGTTGTCTGTGTGGTTTCTTTCCTTCTCTCTCTTACAAAAGTGCCCATCCTTGCGTGTATCCTCTCCATGCCTGTCAGTGCAATCATATCTCAAGATCCTCACACTAACTCAGCCTGGTGACATGCGCAACGACCATGACCTGAATGATGGTCACCTGCTGTCTAGGAGACATACCTTTTCAAGACCAGCATCAGCAGCCTGCCAGTGACCAACCTGCAAGTCCATTCATGAGTGCTTGGTACCTAGAAATACACTCAGTGTAACATAGGCACTTCTTAACCATATCTCAGCAAGGAGGCAATCAGAAAGTGCCTTATTCTTCTTGTCCCTCTCTACCCCACCAGGCAGGAACACTAACATCAGAGGATTACACACTTGGCAGGACTGAGTTCTTAGTGTTGATAGTAGGAATAATATGTATGATAAATTCAAAATGAATAAAAAACAAAGAAAAATAAGGCACTACAGAACCTCAGCTCTTCTTCTTTTGTTCCCTGGGATGTGACCAGTTTTCCTCAGCCACATGCTCTCTCTCCCAACACAGTAAGACCAACATCACAAGTTACAACCTCAAAAACCATGAGCCTAAGTAAACCTTTTTGCTCTGTAAATCCACTGTCTCAGTTATTTTGTTACAATAATGGAAACATCCAGAAAGCAAACATTCTTGGAATAGTGGGTAGTATTGAAGCATCCAGTATCAGATTTGTGCTAACTTCTGTCCTCAGACATCAGGGTAAGGGGATAAGCAAAAGTAAACTCACCCAGGTCATTGTCAGCTGTAGAAGGCAACTGAGGATTCGAAGCCGCACGGGGTGAGTGATGCCTTTAGGGATGTGTTCTGTCCAAAAGTTTCTACAGATCACCCACAGCAGGAGCCCCACGGAGAACACAGCAATGGCACCTACAAAGAGTGTCAGAGCCAGAACCACCATGCTGCTTCCACCTCAGAGAAGGCCAAGTGTCATAGGTGAGTGCCACAGGCCATGGAAGACACTGCAGATCAGCAGGCCTCTTATACATCACCAGCTTCCTTCTCCACCTCCCTGTTTCCTGCAAACACTGGCCCAGCCCAGGCAAGGAGTCACAGAGGGCGTGGCCTGGTTCCAGGCAGAGGAGAAAGTGGTTCCTATATCCTCATTCAGATGGGAAAAGATCTCAGGGGTTCCTACTTAAACTCTGGCATTGACTAGATGCAGCATTGGGTAAGCCACACAGTTGCTGTAGTCATTAGACACTTGCCCTCAGACCTCATTGCACATACCCTAATTCTTTTTTAATTTTAATTTTATTTTTATTAATTACAGTTTATTCACTTTGTATCCTAGCTCTAGCTCCTTCCCCCACTCCCTCCCAATTCCACCCTCCTTCCCTCTTCTTCTCCTATGCCCCTCCCCAAGTCCACTGCTCCCCCCTTAGGTGGAGGTGATCAAAGAGCCAGGCCATGAGTTCATGTCAGAAACACTCCCTGTTCTTATTACTGGGAAACCCTCTTGGACACTTAGCTGCCATGGGCTATATCTGTGCAGAGATTCTAGAATATCTTCATGCATGGCCCTTGTTTGGAATATCAGTCTCACAAAAGATTCCTGGACCCAGATTTTTTGGTTCTGTTGCTCTCCTTGTGGAACTCCTGTCCCCTCCAGGTCTTTCTCTCTCCCCCCTTCTTTCATAAGATTCCCTGCACTCTGCCCAAAGTTTGGCTATGAGTCTCAG